ATGAAAAGAGGAGAGTAAGAAAATAATTGATTTTATCTCAGCAAGAGTGGACTGCAATCACACATTGAGTTATTGGCATGATGGATAGACCTGGATTTCCCACTGTGCCTAATTTGCTAAGGGTGCCATCCCTTGACCACCACAGGATCTCACTCTACCATGAGGCATGCTTAGAGCTCTGCTGAGCTCTAAGCTCTCCAATATAAACAGATAGCTTTACACTGCAATTTAGAGACGCTTACAAGGAGGACACCACAGGAAATAACAGTTTTTCCTTGACTGAAAGAATCAAGACCTGTCATCACATCAGAGTTCTGAAAACTTCCATGGTGAGACAGGTCGGAGAGAGGATACTTAGAAGTGTTCCCAATCTGATTTCAGCAACTGAGGGTAGCAGACTGTAGAGAAACAGCAATATCAGATACAATTGTTCATCTCTACAGAATTTGCCCTAACCCCCAGAAGAGCAGGTACAAAGGTGAGTGCAAAGCACAGAGTTCTGGGCCTTATCCTTTAAACAAGTGGGCAGTTTATGTTCCAAAACCAGGAGTTTCTTAAAGCAAATCAACTCATCTAACACCACAGGATAGAAAGTAGCACTCAATAATTCCTATTTCAGCTAATAAGGTTAAATCTTCTACAGTCGTGACTAAGAGAAACATCTGCCAACTATTCTGTGCACCACCACCCCCCAATGCTAAAATGAACAGAAAGTTAGGCTGTCATTCCTTTCATTTCCTTTCATTTAAAACGCATTATTAGAAATAAATTTTAAGTAGCTGGGGATCTAGCCAGCACTGAAACCCATGCAATTATATTTACAATAAATATCTTCTATCTTGGAGCCACACACACAACAGGACAATGCTTCACACACTGTGATAAAGGTACTAAACTGAAGCACTAAAAATAAAGGAAGAGGAAGGCATCTGTAATCCATTCATTTTTAAAAAGAGAGTTAAAAAAAAGAGGACACTGTACTGAAACAGCAATTAAAATCTGAACCGTTGCAGGAATAAAGGGAAAAATCAAGGCGGGCTTGCAGAAAGGAAGAGAGAAAATAAAACAAACAAACAAACACAAAAAACATACCACAAAAATTCAAACCCACAGGAAATATCTGATGCACTAGACCTATTAATAGCATAATAGTTACTGGCAGATACTATCACTCAGCATTTTATTAATTAACTGAAGATACACAGATACAAGAGGCTTGAAAGTACAAAGAACGAATGGGCTGCACAAACTGGCTCTTTGCTTTCTACAAGGACACAGTGGTCTAAAGTAGGCAGCAGCACTTTCCGAGTCAAAAAAACCCCTCTAGTTAAACAAACTGTAGAGTCCCCATCACCACTCATTCACTTTTTACGTGTGTATGTCTACGATTTTCCATTAAATTGGTAAAAACAACCTATCTGAAAGGCTTTTACAAAGAAAGACTGTAAAACTTAGTGCATGTGAGTTCCTAGGAAAATGACAGAAAATGTGAAAATGGATTTTCAAGATATCTACCTGGATTTCTATTTTAGTTTACTTTTTAACCCACCAGAATTATGCCCAAACAGTATTTCTTCACGTAGAAACATTCAAATCATTTTCTTTCTCTTCACAAAACGCTCTTTGAACCTAACAAATAAACCAGTGTTGACATACCTAAGCCTAGGGATTTATTGCACATTGGGGATTCTCTCTTCTGGAGGCCTGTTGACAAATACTCAAACGGGCTCTGTGTCTTGGGCAAGATCCACGTGTAACATTTTTTTTCACCCGATCTGTGTCATCAGTCATACAACCAGGTAGCACAGTAACTTAGTGTAAGGAGAGAATACTAAAAAACTATTTCCACTTCTCATTGCCAGGGCTTATACATCGCTGTGTTAGTCACCATTTTCTATCATTTCCTTCACAAAATACTGCAATTTAGAAAAATGCCAAGCAACAGCAATAGGTCTTCAGTTTAAATTGTAAATAACGGTTGACTTTGTGCTGATTTTTGTTTTCAAAGCACCCTTTTGCAACATAACATTGCCTACAATGTCTGGTTAAAGGATTTAAATTTGTTCAATAAAGAAGCAAGAATTGGCAGTCAGATGCTCTTAGAAATAAATTGGCGTTCATGGGCTGTGGGAAGCTTTGCAAATACTGGGTATTTATAGACTTTCTTTTCTAGATGTAGAAGAGGAAATAAATTATAAAAAACAATATATTCAACTCAAGTTGTCATTTGTTCTTTTCCAAAATGTGAAAATAATCAGAAATTCATTAAGAAATCTATCAATTATTTTAATAAATCCAATTACATGCATTCTACAGTTCACTGTTCCTACTGCTCTGCTTTGCAAAGAACAGACAAGACATACATACATAGATGATACACTTGTTTTTTTCATCAGAAGTAATCAGTCTTGAGTCAGCTAAGTTCAAAATTTTCCTTCTGTTTCAACAGAACTATTCCTAAAAGTTAAACGTGTTAAGATTTTTTTTTTTTTCCAAGATAAGGCAGCTTCAGCAAGTGAAGTACGTGCTGACCCCACTTATGGATCACTGCTGTAGCAAGGTCTCATATCCAATAACTTCAAGAGAAAAAATACATCATTTCTTTTCCACTACAGAAGGAGCCTTTTCTCTGTGCTAAGGAATGCCTTGTGGGACAAAGCACATCAAAGGCCACAGCTGCAGTCAGGAAAATCAGCACATATAACACATATTTAGGGAAAATGCAGTTAGCATTTGCCAGTGTTAACTGCAGCAGTGTATAATCCCTTCACATGAGGAGCTGAGTGTTACAAAATTCACAGAGTTTAGAGTAGTTGAGCTCCACATTTTAAAGCAACTTCTGCAGCTACCCACCCAGCCTACATTAGCGAATCAAGATTCAACTTTAAGTGACCAAGGTTCCTGGAAGCGTTACCAAAATTTCAGGGGAGAAGAGCGGATCAGTTCTCAGGATACATAGATTTTTGCTAAAAATGTTTTTGGTGGCAAAATTTGTAAATATATTTACTTCAGCTTTTCATTCCACAGCAGGTATAATAAAAACCTTGAGGTTTAGTACAGAAGTGTTTTTAGTGTGGAAACATAATGTAGCTGTACACTCTCTTCCCAGTGAACCTCTTAACCTAGAGAACTAGCTAAGTGCCTAAAGTGAAACGTTTATTGAAGGAACGGCCTGATGTTCTACAGAAACAGACAGCAAAAGCCAGGCCTCCAAAAGTTTCCCTGCAAGCCTAATTCAGTTCCTGCTGAAAGAAGTTTTGAAAAACTCAATCTTAGACCATTACACAGGTCCTCTTATCCCAGGTGTTGCAGCTTTCCTCTGGCACTGTCCCATATTGGTTATAGGCCAACTTTAGTGCAGTCTGCTGCCAGAACAGATAGTTCCACACTTTCACCTGAAAGCTTTTTCCTTTCATCTATTTAGGTTTTGAGCTGGAAAGGGATTTTTTTTTTCAGGCAGATCAGTCCTCAATCCAGCTCACCAGATGGCAACGCAAACAAGGGTGGCAGTGCAAGGGAGGCAGAGGGAAGGTGCAGCCAGATATGATGAAGGCTTTTCAGGGCCAGCCAGTTGGCTTAACAAGCTTGCAAAACTCTTAGTTTCTTCTTAGCCTTCTCTGCAGCACCATAGCTAAAGGATCCTACAGATTTTTTCCCAGCTGAAACCCTTAGCTCTAGAGAACAGTATTTTTACTCTCCAACAAACATCAGGCATGATTTTTGATAGATACAGATATATATATACGGAGAGAGGGAGAAAGAGAGATACATAATCCTCCACACCACAGTTTCTGTTTCAGGAGACCACCTTTTCAAACCTCAGAGCTGAAGGACATTTAAGTGATCCGATAATTTCATTTTTAGCTTCTAGAGAAGAGCTTCTTATCTTCATCGGGGGTCAGATGCAATGGGATGACATCCATTCACTAATTTGGAACCATTTAATTGCAATTTAATCTGCTAAGCATTGTCCTCTCTGGTTAGGACAGCTCCCTCTTCCTTTCACAGTGTCAAACAATGCAAGAGGACTGAAAGCAAGGAATAGAAAACTACTGTAGCCATGCTCATATTCCCTCTGGAAATGAGCTGGAGTAGGGCCTTTCACCCACTGCATATGCACTGTAGTCTCAGACTGGAAAGTCAAGAGGACAATGGTTCCAACACTGCCATTTATTTAATCACATTTTCATTTTATTTTCATTCTTTTTTTTTCTTTTTTTTTTTTTAACCGAAGTATGAGCTTTTCTTTTTTGAACCAATGTATGGACAGATCTGAAAATAACTTGCTAGTAATTTCAGGATGATTTAAATACTTTTTTTTAGTTTCCACACCAAAACACCAGTAAGTAATGATTGCCTATCACATAGCATATATGAGAGTACAAGTCGTCATTATCATTATGAACTGTGCTTCGTCTCTTCCTATTACCTCCAAATTACAAAAATTTTGTCAAAAATGTATCTCAAAGAAGGCATCTAGATTCCTTTTATTAATATGTCAGTGTTATAAATTCTTAGTAAATTGTTAGTCAGTAGGATGTCTGGATGATTAAAACCTTCTGGGCTTCGGAAGGCATTTTCTGTGCAGGAATTTGTCAAATCCTGTTCAGTTTACTATTGGGAGCACTTAAAAGACAAATAATGTTACATAAAATCTGGCCACTGTAGATGCATTTCTGACATTTTAATGAGTTTCTCTCCCTTTCAGACAACAAAATCATCACCTTCCAGAAGGTAAGGAAACAATTAAATGCCTATTACATCTATTCATTTAATAGCCACCTTTCCCTAAAGTATGTTTCCTACAATATACCGGTAGGTAACATAGGTGGTACAATTTGGTTTATATCTTGATAAAGCTACACAACTTTTCAAGGCAAGACAGGAAGAGAGATATTCCTGCCATTTAAATAGTAAGAGATATGGAGGAAATTGCAAGAGATCTCCAGGACAGAAATAGTACCATAAAGCCAAAATAAGCCAACCACATTATCACTTACCTTACGTTTGTTTGTTGGGCAAACGTACAAGTAGCTCAAAATAGTCTTCAGACCAACTTTATCATTCAGTTTCTCATATGTTGTCCCATAATCTGTTGACCTACAATTCAAAAGAGATTTTCATAAGTACAAACACTTAATCACAAAAACACAAGTCACTTGGCAGCTTTTCAATATAAGTCATGCTTTAAATAGCAGAATGGCTCTCCAGAGCTTTTTCAATGATTCATGTAGTATATAATGATACTTAATTATATACACATAGCATCATGTGAGTGTTTATAATTTGCATTTAAATTAGATTAGGAAAAATTAAACCAGCATCTTCCCAAAGCATTTTAAAATAAACATGTACAATAAGAAATGCTAAATTCTGCATATAGAAGATTACAATGATTGCCAGAAATACCAAACAGCAGACAGCAAGAGACTAAGGTTACCAATTCATCTTATCCTCCAAGCTTAGACTAATTTTTTTAAGATGTGTTACTGTATTCCAAAGTAGCTTCTCCAACTGATTGTTCAGTGAAATTATAGTTCTGTTTTCTGCAAAAATCATCAATGCCCTTTTGAAAACTTAACTACATGAACGTTACACCTACAATTTATATATTGTTTGTTTTTTTGTTGTGGGAGTTTCTTTCACACTCACTAGCAGAGAGTAAGCATACATGCTTTATTCTTCCTTCAAAAGCCACCATTCGGTGGAGACAATAAAATATTTCTGGTGTGAGAGTTTCCCATAAAGACACTGACTTCATGGCTTGGGGAGGAACAAAAGCAGTGAAAAAACAAGACTGTGCAGAGTTCCTTTAACATGTACTCTCAACATGTGACTGGAATCTGGGACAATAATCTGCAGAGGTTTTGTTCATTATGCAGCTCATGCTTGTCTGAATTCTGTCCCTGTATCCTGGGGATTTAGATAATCAGTCCAAACCAGTACAGTTGGTACTCTGTACTGGTTTGGACTGTATCCATAAATTGCAGAAAAATGACATGTGTCTGGGTAGCAGAGACTTATAAAAGCACAACATTCCTGTACTTATCTGTAACATGTATAAATGGCTCCATATTGAACTTCACTTCCAAGCAGTTACATCCTTTGTGCAAAGCACTCCAAAACCAGAGATTCTAAAGTAAAATCTTGGCACCAATTATTTGCAGGTTCTTTCCTACCTGGCCAACAATGGCTAAATTCACAAAGTTATTTAAGACACTTAATGGGGTTTGGGGGGGGGGGGGTGGTTCGAGTTCTTTTGAATATGGAGGCTGTTAAATTTCGCTTTAGATTCCACACCTACATTCATACCACAGCTTCTGGGATTTCAGATTTTGCAATCACTACATGAATAAAACAAGAAAGCAGCAGCTTGGGGTTTTACCCATTAAAGATGACTTGCACTAAAATGCAGATTTGCATTAAAATTGATTCTTTCTATTCTGCAACTCTATAGAAGCCTTTGCATGTATCTGCGTGCTCATACAACAACTGACATGTAATTTGCATCCACAGTTTTTTTTCTTTACCCCCAATAAACACATGCACATGTGTGTGCATATATGTCCTTTTGTGTTTGGAGCATTAACATCAAATTCTCACCTGCTGAATGATCTTTCCCTTTATAAGGTCATCTCTCTCCGAGCACATATAAATTAACTGAGCTATTTCCTCAGTGGACTGAGCAGTAGGATACTGTTATAATTATTACTGTTAACAAATCTTTCAGAGATGCTCCAGCATTCAGGTGAAGGGATCCCCAGCAGGATGCTGGACACAGCCTTGCCAAGGACTGCTGCTTCAGTTTGTTGCCTCGCCCCACCTTACCACCCAGTCTTCTAAGAAATTAGTATTTCTGTTGCTGTCTGCCTAAAACCCAAAACCTACCCTTTTAGTGAAGTTTGAGCTGATAAAGACATGTAAAGACTGTAAGGACTAAATCTGACCTGCAGAATTAGGAAAAATACATTAATGAAATAATACAGCTCTTTCTTATACTGGTGACAGTGAATTCAAAATAGGATCTTTCAAAAGGGAATAGGAGAAAAGAAAACCTGAGACATAAAACTTGCTTTGAAGTTGTTCAAGAAAAGCAGCCAGTACCCCTGCCAAAGCACAGGCAAACTGATGTCAACAGCAAATGGTAATCATAGTCAGAATTGCCAGCCATTTCTTTCTTCAAACCTCTAGGCAATTATTTTGCATTCATAGCTTTATTTACAGGTAACACTATATACAAATGAAGCATGTGCTTCTGTCAACATCTATAAAAGAAACTGAAAGATTGGAAAGCTTAGAAAAACATCATTTTTTTGCAGATGAACAAATTCTCAAGCAATCAAAGGAGCTGCTATTAGATCTTACTCTCATTATGAAGTTCCAAACTGACAAATAGCCAATCTTTCCACCTTCCCAGTTACTAGTTGTTTCTCTTGCACTGCTTTACAATTACCCTTTATTTTAACGGGGAGCTAAATGTTACATATACAACAGCAGATAGGAACCCAGTAGTGCTTTAACACAAAGAAATGGTAATAGATACACAGAGCAGTGGAACAGAAAAACTTGTATCAAATGGAACACTGCATACATGTGCAGCCTCTGTTGGGATCTGACCCAGGAGTATCACCAACCTGCATTCATCTTATTCCTATTATACACATGTGTATACAAGCAGGCATTGATTACCAGACTAGATAATGAGCTTTTTGTTTGTGCTGTTAAATGGGTGTATAAAGCAGCATGAGAATCCTAACCCATGAAAACATATCAGCTGTTTGACAATCCAGGAAGTCAGTCTAACCTGGAAGTGCTGCAAAAGAGAGATGAACCTCAGCAGGGTGTGGGCACAAATGACAGTGTAGGATCAACAAATTTAATCCCAGTCATTTGAAGGGGAGTGGATAGGTACCAAAAAACATCTCCCACACTTTTTGTGGAAGGCAATACTTCTCTGAAGTTCTGAAGAGAGAACTCAGTATTAGTCCATCTCTGTAACATGAGAGGAGCAAGCAAATCTTAGTATAAATCATGGGAAAGGACTAAACCCAGGGCCTATGGAACTGGAAACACAAAAATTAAACTCTACATTTGAACCATCTGCTGAATAGCCACAGGTACTGAAATAGCTATATGTAAATGGTGAACAGTAAGCTCTATTTTATTGTCCCTAGTGTAGACATGTGCTGCAATGGCTCCCCAAATTGCAGGGGGGAGTATGTTCAGGTCCGTGTTCAGACATTGTGGATGTTACTGAAATGCAGATGATAGTAAAAGAATAATATTCAGAAAAAAAGTATTTAGACTGAATTCTGAACTTCTCATCTGTCCCACCATATGAGTTGTAATTGCTTCCATTAAATCCCAAATTTTATCAGCAGCTGTTTAAAATCTGACTCCCTATTTTTCAGTGAAACAGAATGATTTCTGCAAATACCAAGTAGATAAACATTTTCATTATTACTAGCTCATTTCACAGTATAAAAAAATACCACCATTCTGAGACTGAAGCTCTGCCTTTCCCAGTAATAAACTAAAACAAAACTAGAAACATGTATAGTAATTTATATTTTGCAAACTATTCACAAGAAAGTTGACATTTAAATAACTTCATTATTATTCATTGACAGGGCTTTTCCTTCTCTTCCCGTCAGGGTAAATGACATTTCTATTACAGTATTATAATAAACTCCTACACATTTTAAATAAAGTCACTGAATTTCATTAGTCCACCTACTGTCATGAATATATCTCAATCCATTCCCACCAATATTTCACAATTATAATAGGCATTCTGAATCCACCAGTAACATGAACCCTATGCTTCTCAAGAAGCGCAGACTGCCATTCAGAGGACTGTCAGATTGAATATATAGATTAAATAAATTCCCTAGCAAGTTGCTGTTTACTCTCCTTTGTTGCAAATTTAAGGTTGCCTGTACTTATTTTACATAAGCTTTTGAAGACTTGAAGAATCAAACAATTGATTGTGTGGTCAAGGTGGGGTTTTTTGCATCAAGATCTTTCTGGAACACTCCATGAGAAAAAAAGAAAAATATTACTTGCAGACCTTAAGCTGTCTCATGTCTCCTGCCTATTAGAGTACAGCTTTCTTGCCATGTTAACAGACTAAGTTTCTTGTTATAACACACGTCATTATGAAGCAATCACTTTAACTGGCACCATTTACTTTTTTTTTGTTTCCTTTTCCCACCAATTATGCCTGGTTTTCACATATTAACTTGACTGCTTCCCTCACTTTCACTACAAGAACAGTCTGTGTTTCATGTCCTTACCCTCTTTCCTCCACAGTTTAATTTGCTTTTCTAACCATGGTCCAAGTGGCAGCCAGCCCTGGGAGGCAGGACCAGAAACACCTGTAACGTGGTTAGGGAGCAGCAGAGCAAGTCAGCCTGTCATGACCAGGAGCAGTGAGAAGAGATGGGCTCTAGCCTGTTTCTCCTGCACATGAATTCACCTCTGGCAGGGGTCAGGTATTTTAAGTAAGGAACAGCAACAACTATTAGATCAGCTGTTCCAACCTCCTGCATAACTCAGTATGCCATCTAGTTTGCCTCCAAAGGGAATGGCCAGTTGAGCACAAGATTTGCCAGTTGCTACTGTATTAATCTCAACATGAGCAGATTTTTGGAAAGAAGCCTTTCAGACTGCAGAAGGCAGAGCTGTGGAGCCGCAGTCTGCACTTACAAAAGGCTTTCAACTGAACAAGTTTTTAAATAAAGGAAATATTAAGACATTAAAAATGATCTTTCATGTCTGAATGTGAAAAATATTGGAGCTGGTAATTCTAGGGAGTACTGTATTCCCATGTGCAATGTTTTATGCCTGTTTGTAAACTCTGCTGTAGAGCTGTTGACTTTTGCCTTTTTTTTCTGGGGATGCTTCTAGGCTGAGGTGCTATTCCCTCATCACTTACAGTGAAACTCTTTACTGTGGTTTCATAGCCAGGTACTAAAGTTTCCTATTGATTTTTGCCATACCACCATGTCTCACAAAAGCTAGTAATGTCAAAGTCTTCTTCAACAGCTACCTATTTATGTTCACATGTTCTTCCTGTCAAGCCTTTCACTAGGCATTGA